CTGGGAAGCCTTTTAGTGGGACGACTTTAGCTTAGAACAGAGATTTTTATTTTTTGTTTAATCCATATTTTGAGGTATACTTTAAAGCTTGTAACAAACTCTACAATAAACTTTAATAAGTATTAAATTTAAAATATTTCTTAAATAAAGTCTTATTGATTTTGGCACACACTATAATAATATATTCTTTTAATAAAAATATTTATTTATTTTATAGCGCATTAAATTTGCTATATATTTTTTCTGCATTTACTTACATCCCTATTGCACTTGGCGAGCATGTGTGCGCGGTTCAAGGGGCAGTGACCATAATTAATTGACCATTTATTGCAGCTTCCCTGCAAGCCGTTTGCGGTTAAGCAGGAGACAATGGCTTCATAAATTCAGCTCTGGGAGAGCAATCTCAGCCGGCTAAGTGCCGCTCCACGGGTTTGTTGTCCTGTCCCGTCCCGCCCCGCCCAACGTCCACCGAGATGGGCAATCCCTTTCGCCTTTGTCTTTATCACTGTCCTTATCAGAAGGCAGTGCACTGGAAAATGTCCTTACCCGTCGTCAGTCATAATGAGGGATCCACGACCATTTGCCAGCCAACGCTCCCAAGACCCAAAACAATTGGCTGCCGTTTTGGTCAGCTGAAGCCTGAGTAAACGCTTTAATATGGCAAAGTTTGGCAACCGGAAAATTGTCTCGGAATGCAGGGTCCTGGACCTACTTTAAAGCCCACAAAAAAATAACAGATGAGAGGCAAAAGCAAGGCGGAAATCATCTGCATTATAAATCATACCAAAGTGTGGAGGCGTAAATTTTTTATAGCGACTGGGGAGCGCATGAGAACCTAAGAAGTTCGGTTGTTTTATGTTCGTGGAATTCTAAACAAGGGGAAAGATGGTATTCTTTTGGCTACACACATAATTATCTTCCCAAAAATTAATTATTTAACATATTTTTTTATTGCAGTATAAGACAATATGTAAAAGGGCTTTCGAAAAACAAGCGTAATGCGTTTTTTATTATTTTCAATATTAAATACCAAAAAATTAGAAAAAAATCATTTATAATTATTTAAAGTTTAAATTACTTAATACGAATTTTAACCTCATTCATTTTATTCAATAACATGAATTTTCTTCAACCTCAAATATACTGGTAGCAAAACAAATGAAAACTGTAATTAAAACCCTTCAGAAAAACGAACGACTAATCTGGAAGCTAAGACCTCAATAATCTGAAAAGAAAAGAAACTCTTGCAAATTGAGAACTTGACCTTTTCCGTGGCAGCTGTTTTAGAGCGATTAAGTTATCCCACGTTGCCACGAAACACCCCAGCTGCCAGCCTTCAGCGGGATTATCCCCCCGGTTCGTCTCAATTTCCATTTATCATTATGCAGATTCATGTCTACAATATGTTCATTTATAAATATACGTACATTGTACAATGTACACGAAAAAAAGGAAACTCAAGAGCACTTTGGCATGGTCTATGCAAATTAATAAGCAACTCACTTAGCGCTGACTTAAATGCAGGCAAACTGTTGTAAATGGCGTTTTAATCAACGTACCAAGACAACAAACGAAATTAATTAAATGTTCACTTCATGGCCGGGATCTCCGCTAAACCAGAATGGAGGGACCTGACCCGCCCCTCTCCGCCCACTTATTATCTCGGGTTGGCTGGGAAGTAGGAGGAGGGAGGTGGGAGCTCCTCCCAAAAACCCTCCCATCCCTCGAACATCCTATCTTCCACGTAGCACGTCAATTTTTGCATTTTAATGATATTTGAACCGCGGTGTGGCCGCGGTCTGTTCGACCCACGATATGGGGTTGCATTTGGTATTGGGAGAACCGGGGCTCTTTTGGGGGATGGGGATGGTTTCGCGTTGCCCACATAACGATGATGACGATGACGACGGGCGATGGCTATGGCGAAGACCCTGGCCAGTTGTTAGCGATATGATAATGAATCGATAAATACTCTTCCAGCGAAAGGCCACAAAAAACTTTTGGCGTCGAATAGATTATTCTAAATAGGTTATGTTTCGGGGAAATGACAAAGCGAAAAGTTCTTTGGGAACTTTGAAAAGGAATTTTCCGTTTTTTGTACATTTATATTTAAATGAGGGCTTTTTTCATGAATTATTTAGACAAAAAGTATGTGAAGAAAACTTTACACTCTATTAACTTGTAAAATAAGAAATTCACTTTGATGGGCGAGCTTCAAGAGGTTGCACAAGACTGTGTTGTTATTCAAGTGCTTAAAGTGGGTATTATGATAATTCAATAGAAGGCAAACTTGTCTGGGGATAACAAAATCCTTGCATTATCTCTCCCAGCTGAAATCAAAAATCCTGAAGGACTCGCAATCTGAATAGAGAATTAATTACGTTGCTGGCCGCTGGACTGGGGCCTTCGGTCTTCGCTACAGTCCAAATCCCCTGGCCCCCAAATTGCGGTTTCTGAATCCATGAGGCTCCATCGAAGTGATTTTTTTTGGTGGCCCGGAATAGGGAATTCCGTCCGTCGCTTAATTGAAAAGCAATTAATTTTTTGGCCTGCACTAGGACGATGCCTTCCAACCGGCTTGTTTTCCCCCGCGTGGCTCCCAGTGGGCCCTGAATTATTGACAAAAGTTAAGTGAGCAACTGCACGGACCGAAATCATAACCAGACATCGGGGTAAATTGAAAGGCAGCATCGAGTGGGGCCCGTCGGTTGTTTCTGGTCTCTGGAGAAATTTGAAAATCCTAGCCACAAACGTCTGACTGACTGTCAATGGGAGGTTACTCGAGAGGGAGGCACTCGGCACTCCCCACTCGAAACCCTGAAAACGAGATTACAGTGCGGCAAAGGGATCTTAGAGCAAAGAGCAAGTCAAAGGCAATTCCATTGGCAACTGCTGCTGGCCTTGAGAATAGCAATCGTTTTATGGTCGTGTCGTGGCCTGAGCTCCCCGTTTCTGTTTTTCTGTTATTCTGGTTAGGGTAGCCGAGGAGTCCTCTATTCCATCCTGAGCCTCCATTCCTCAGATTGGCCGTAAAAATGTCACCTGTGACTTGCGACTGTGAGAAATCAAATAAATTCAAGCAGCTGGCCAACGCTCCCTGCCTCTACGCATTTCTTATCAAGCCATTTGGCTCATAAACACACGGACATATAAAATATATTTACCTCCAGGCTACTGCATATTTTATGCAAAACTTAGAAACCAATAAAAATGGCAAGCGGTATAAAAAACATCGTAAATAAAAGTATTTGTGAGGAGAAAAGACGTTTGGACTTAAAAGTACTGGGAGTTGGAATTTTAGGAATACTCTCTGCTAATAAAATTAAAGATTAATTGGATCAAAAATGTTAAGACAAAAATCGAGATATCCAATGAACACATTTTAAATCCTTCACTCGCATATTAGTTAAAAAATAAATATTTCTCTTAGTCAGAAGAAAACCATTTTACAAATAAGTCTCTTTTGCCAAGAAAAAGTCAATGTTTGCCTTTGGCTTTTTCTGTACGAGTAAATATGTAAATATTTTCAACCGAATGTGCATATTGCATATTAAAGAGTTGAGTAAATAATAAAGGAAAAATCTCAGAGACTGCAGATTTTAATTAAAACCACTCTGATCCATAAAATATATGAAATTTTTATCATTTTTGGAAAATGTTTACTAAATAAATCTAGAGTGGTATTTAAATTACTATGCTCAAACATTAGGAATTTACATCAGTGCAAATAAAAGAAATAAAAATTTGCAACTACACTTTTTTGGCCTTCGCACAACTACAGCAATTCGTAACTACTTCGTAGCCCAAAAGTTGATTTAAATGCAAATGGAGAGGAAAGCCAACGCAAAGTTTGGCCAGGATGGAGGTGGAAAAGTACCTTAATCGAGTCAGTGGCATCCGAGGCACCATCTCTGCAATTCTCGCCTCAATTGCGAATTTTCGGCGACCTGAAATTGCCTTGAAGACCAGTTTCACTGGCCATCAGTGAGCGTTGTCGCGGTCCGATATGCAAATTGAAATGCGTTTTCCTTTTACGCAGCTTTTCCCGCTTCTTTGAGCTGCCTCTTGACTCTGGAAGAGCCCATCGAGTGGTTTTAGGATTGCATATTGCTTCAGGCATATCACGTATACGCAGTGTGTGCTTCAAAAGACTGAAGATTTTGGGATTGAGCGGATTAAGTTGGCTAAATTGAAGCTTAATTCTTTGGGAAGTGGAAAACGAGTTCTATAGGAAATCAAAGTCCAATCAACATCAATCATCTAAGAACAAGTTGCCGCACATGTTTATCACTTATGCAGACTGCGTCCCTAGACAATAATGATTAACATTACCTATGACCAATTCAATTCCCACCTGTACTACATGGTCATTAGCATTCGCCCTAGTTGGGCCAAGCAATCAATGCATTTGTTTATCGAATCAACAATTGATGGATGACTGGCATCCATGTCAGAGGGGATCAATTAGAATCAATCGAAAGCTGTTCGGACTGTCTTTCCCTGCTCGTTCTCCCCCAGCGTCGTTCACTCGAGGGCCCATTAAAATTAAAGGGAAATTTGCATTTTTAATTAAGGAACAGTCACGGCCAAGCCATTTGATTTGGCCATAAAAAGTAAACAGAGTACGTGCCTCCCCCGCCACTTTCTTCATTTTCCTTTAAATGCAATTGGGTTTTCCCTAATGTTATCTCTTTTCGCTCGCTTCTTCCTTTTAGCATTTTTGTGCTCTTTTTTTTACTGCTAACTTATTTGTTTTGTCGCAAAACAAAATAAAAGTTGAATGCTTTTTTCGGGACCCCGGCCTCTGCCAGTTTCTCTTTGGCAGCGGAATAAAACTTTTCTTTCCTTTGTGGGAGCCAAAGAAAAGGCCGCAAGAAAAGTTGACTGGAATTCAATTTGTTCGGATCGTAATGAATATACTCGGGCATATACTTTGGCCTGCCCCAACAAACATGTCAAACTTATTAACAAATACATTTTTGTGTTCCGCCCAGACTCACCGTACTCCCACCGCCAGATGCTTGGGCAAATTGATTTAATTTCAAGTTGGTTTGCAGTCAGTTAAACTTGAACTCTCACACTGGCCGTTAAATATTATTGTTGGGCGTTGGGCCCGGAGACAAAGGCGGAAAGGCGAAAAGTTTTTGGCCGGGCTAACCACGGGAAAAAAGTACAAACAGAGGGTATAAATAAAAACCGAAAACTGGCGACCGCCGACGTGTCAACACGGCGTATCCGATATATATATAAGTATGAAAATACTGGGGAGAGGAGCGGTTCGAGACACAAAAACCAAAAACCGCAAGGATGGAGACACTCGAGCACGTTCCGGCACTTGTTTGGTCTCCTTTTTTCACTCCCTTGCTCTCACTTTCGCTATCAGTTCCTTGCCGCACAATGAAAATATTCTTTAGCCCTCCGTCGAAGACAGTTTTTCTCCTCTGTTCGAAAATCTCTTTTTCTGATTTTCCTCCGGTTTTTCTGCCGACTTTCGCGTCCGACGTCAACGAAGAATCACAGGCAACTGAACGGTCCAACTTCGGGCGGCTGAGTGGCCGACCAACAGGTTAGCTGCTGATAAGACCTCGTGAAAAGCCGAGCAACTCGAGTCGTTTCACTCGCTGCGTATACGCGATGTACACAGTCGTCGGCTTGTTACGTATACGCCGCGTTGCGCTCACTCAATTGCAGGGGCGTTGAGTGATGAGTGGGCGAGCGAAAATTGAGTGAGTTTCCATGGTTTCAGGTCCTGAGTGATGCCTGTCAATTATTTGCGAGGCCGAGGAACGAGTGCAAGGCTGTTTTTGCCCTTAAATGAGCCATAAACCGAGGAATTCGGTAAAGTGAACTTCATAAATCCTTCGCAAAAAAGCGGTGATATCATGTTAAAGTTTTAAAAGTCTAAAGTTGTTCCCCGGATTTTTAAGATCGTTAAGTGGCCTAGTATAAAGTTTCTATATTCGCACTGCAAGATAAGTAGCGAGTTTACTAGTACAAATAATTATTTAAGTATTTACCACTTAGTTGAAACAATTTGAAAATTGACCGCAAACAATAATAGGAAAAGAGTATATAATATTATAAACCATATGATTTCTCTTTTAAAGAATTTAAAAAATTAATTAATTTACAACGAAGCAAAGCACTGAATTCCCTTGACCTTGATTGCTTTAATGGAGAATGTCATTTCCTCAACCAATTAGCTAATAAAGCTTTAACTTTCTTTTCTCTGCCACACAACCAGATGGACCATAAATGTATCTCATCCAATCATCGCCATCAACGTCTGCTTACCTTACTCAACTTCCTCTTGTGTGTATTTACTACTTGCCACCTCATTCCGTCACTTTTCACAATTTAATACCCTGTACTGGCAGCAATGCAAGAGTTTATAATTTTGATCTAAGGAATACATTACATACATTACATTTTCGATAACAAAAGAGGACTGAATATTTTTTTGATTGTGCACATTACTTGTATATCTCGTGGAAAACACACACACCCCCCTAGTGGGTAACCCCAAGTCCAAATCCCACCTCGCATGTCCTTATTTGTTGTGTTATCTGTCGCCGGGAAGTTCCACAGGAAATCACAAGCAGTCAAGGGCATTCTGGGAGGGCTACAAGGGATGTGCCAACTGATGCAGCTGCGATTTATTTATTAAAGCCAAGTCGACAAACAGTTTCCACTTGGTGCGAGACTCCTTCGGAGCCGCCGACTGTCGTCCTTCTCCCACCGCTTTTGGAATTACGCTTCATACTTTTTAAGCACCTCGCCTGACACATTTATGCTCCGGCAAAAGTGAAGTGAATAGTGGCCGCTTTCGCAGCATCCAACCTGCCGACGTCGCTCCACATGCTCGCCCCTTTAGCCGATTTACGGTAAACAATGGCAACTTACTACCTGAGACGACTCATCCTTATTTTCAGCCTGGGCCTCATCCTCTTACGGGAAATTTGTGTAACATATTCAAGCGCTGCTTTCATGAATTTTTATTTACTTGCCAGGCATCTTCACCGAAAGGCACACCATATACGAACATACATACATATATGCAAGCCAGACGAACGCTCTGTTGACATTGTAAAGTAAATCCGTGTTGCGCATACGCCGCATATGCCAGGCAGAATTTTGAAGAGGAAATGACAACGCACGCCAAATCACAGCGTCAATTTGGATGGGTGTGAGCTGGTTAACAGGCGGCTATTAACTCTTAACCGCAAGATAAGAATCCGCATAATACTGAATTAAAGTGGCACGATGTTTTATTAAATCAAAAATAATATGCCGATTTCTTAAATTAAGAAAGTTAGTATAGTTACGCTTGAAACTTAAATTCTTAAAATTCATTTTTGTTATTTATCATTAGTGATAGTTAGGATAAGAAGCAGTATCATAGATAAGTAAGTTTCATTTTCCCAGATATATTTGCATACGGCTCGTCTTCAGGGCGGTTCGACTACCCCACCAAAAGCCGCACTTATAAGCTGACTTTGTTTCCTTAGCATATTCACCATTTAAATTGCTGAAAGTGAGGGGAAAATAAAGCAAGGTTTATGTTTCATATAAGTTCAATGCGTACCACTGAGGACTACCGTTGTAAGTCCACCAGAAGAATTTTCTGTTCAAGTAGGTGTAGTTAACTATTCTTTGACCCTCGTGAACACGAAGAGCGTCTCCTGCATTTCCTTTGTAATGACCCAGAGATTTTAGCAAGTACATTTCTTCCTTATCGCCTACAACGAAGTTATCATATATGGCGAATTCCTCGCAATCTATTTCAATATGTAAAGTGCATTTGTAACTCGTCGTAAGTTGGTGCATATTTTCCAACCCAATCCAAAACTCTCCATCCGGGTTTCCAAATCCTTTGACAATCGAAGTCAGAGAATTGTTAGCAAAGTCAACACTGCCATTGTATCGGTTCTGGATGGTAATCCAAGATCCCCGTTTAGAAAGATGTAATGGAATCTTGGCATCCTTCTGCTTATCTGCTGCTTCCGGTTCATCATTATTCATTTTTTCCGTATATGTTTGTTGAAACTTCGAAAACTCTCCATTGAGCTGAACCAATTCTTGACGCAGCTGTTTAAAGCTGGTTTGAAACTTTTCAATGTCTTGTTTATATTTCTGATTTTGGGAATTTAAATCTGTGATCACATTGTCCTTTTCGTTGCACATTTTTTTCAAAGAGCTAACAGTTTTTACTGATTCTGCCAACTTTCTTTTAAGATCCCCAATTTCCATGTTTAGATAGTGTCTTGCTTCCCTTAAGGCTCCGCGAGTGTTGCTGAGCTAGAAAGCAGATTTCACTAATTGTACAAATTCCGGTAAATAACAAGAACTCTTACCGATTTATCCATAACCTAACGGCACTATTTTCGAAGATAATAGTTATTTGAGGACTAGAAAACAATAAACTTGGAGAGAAATCGCACAACGTGGTTTGGTTTGGCGTTGCCACACTAAAGAAGGGGATTCCTGACTTGGTAGGCTTGCCAGATTGGTATAGTATTACCGTGTGCGTTGCCACATTTTCAGAAATAAAATAACATTTTTTTGATATTGAAGTTTTTTATGGGGAACGATTGAAATTTGATACTGTTAAATTTTTGATCAACGTGATTAAATATTCAATTTTTTAAACTAAAAACATCTATAATTTGATTTTTTATAGGAAAAACTAAAAATATATTTTATAATTTGATTTTAATGTAGTGAATAAATACTGTGATACTAGAGTGTTGACGAGTTGTCATGGCTTTTTAATTAAATAAGGAGACAAAAAAATAATAATCTTAAATTAATTAGATCCCTTTGCCCTGCTTGAACTTACAGTAAATATGACAGCCAATTTAAATTCGGTTTATAATTTTTCTAAGAATTTAATATATTTCCGTCTCTCAGCTGCTCGGTTTTCGCTGACCTTTGCTGTGGTTCTATATTTATCTACATATGTTTTTTGTGTATATTCGTATTTTTCTCATCTGTTGAACTTATTTTTAGGATTTAATTTAAAATTTCGGGCCTTCTCTTAATAAATGGTCTTTGATGTCATAGAATAAAGAAGGCATAAATATTACTCCAACTATGTTTATAAAATAGTTGTTAGAATAATTTGTTTAGCTGCCAAAAGGTGTATATATTGAACACCACTTTATTAAACAACAAATATTTTAATTATTAAATCCATCCATCCCAATACTACAATATATTCTTCATAAAAAAGTTTCTGCTGTTCTTTTTTATTGCTAGTTATCTCTTGTTCAATAAAAGAATTGGTTCAACAAACTTATTGCGCTTAATTATTTGGCAAAAAGATTAATGAGTCTTTTAAACACATAGTTTTGTCTGTCAAATCAAATGAATCGAAAGTTTTCGGATCCGAGTTGTTTTGAAATATGCATGAACTTTTATGCTTAATTTTTAACGACGACTTTCATTTATCTCTAATGGTTAAGTTTTATTTATCATGGTTCGTTGGACTCCGATTAAGGTCTTGTTTCCATTTGTGACAAGGGTAAACTATGAATCAAAGCAAAACGCTCGAAAGCATAAACTTAACTGTCAGCACAAGGAAAACAATTTAAAGGCGAATCCAGCAAGTTAATAACGACATTAAAGATTGAGGAAACGAAAATAAATGTGGGGTGGGAAAACTACTCTACTACAATTGCTCGAAGTTCGAGAGGTTCTCGCACAGCACGAACAATACTTGGCACTTATATTGGCAACTTTTTCTATTGAAATTATATTTATAGCAGCAGCTGCTGCTGGAGGAGTTCGATACGAGACCAAATTATAGTCCAGACTACCTGAGTTGTGCATTCGGGAGGCAATGGGATACGTGCTTGTGACGGGGTCCCCATCTCTCCGGCTTATTAGAGCCAGCATATTGTGAAGCCATGGTTATGCTTTGCATATAAATGACCCACATGCATACATTCGGATTGGGCTGCCTGGCCCACATGCGGCGTTAAAGTTACTGCCTAAACCTATTCTCCCTCAACCGGGACGAGGGCCACTTCAGTTCCCTTCTCCTGGTCACTTTAAGGAGTCACTCCCGGCGACTTTCCTTTTTAGGGCTCGTTGACTGCACGCCGACCATTGGACACTTGGCGAATGGACAACTTATTTGGCCTAAAATAATCTAGAAGTTTAATGGAAATACCTATTCCAATTTTACCAAATAAATCATAATTTAAGCAAATCATTTTAATTTTAATTGTTATTATTTAATTTTCCTTTACACTTAAATTTATAGTCACAATATTTCGTTTCACTTTTTGTTCCAAGCTTATAAAACATAATCCTAATATATGTTTAATATTTATTATAGCGAAACCTTTCATATAAAAGATTTAATTTTGTAGCTATTTATTCGCAGATATGTAGACATGTTTATGCCAAAAGTTTATGAATTTCGTGCAGTGAGCATCGTGAGGAGACCAAAAGACACCAGGATTCAATCCCTCCGCTTTATGGGCTTCTCATTCTTAT